GCGCGATCCCGGGGCTTCAAGCGGGGGCGCCTAATCGAAAGGATGAAATTTTGACACTAAAAATATTATAAGGTACACGAGTTATAATTGTCAAATAGCTTTTATTTATTATTTAAAAAGGTCTAAAATTGTTAACAGACATTTTTCTCTTGGTTAAAATGCCGGCAGACAACGCGAAAGAGCATGGAATTTTAACAAAAAAAATCATCGCATACATTTTTTTTTTTTTTTTTAGAATGAGTGGGAGGGGGGTTAATCACTTCGACCTTACAGATCCATTGTGTCCCCCTTTCTTGAATCATAACTCATCATACAGTCCCAGGGCTTTGACAAAAGCCAGTATCTGGGACGGTTTTATAGAGGGTAGTTCTCCATCTCCAATATCAGTCGTACCAAAGTTCATGGCACGAATGGTTGTCGTCTCGGCGCACTCAGTGATGAGGTGTACTGGTGTTTCACCATCTTCCCCACAGAATCTGCTTTCGCCGTTTCTTCTTAGTTTCAATCTACTGAGGTGTTCATTGAGGAGACAGTGTCCTGTTAAAAACCCCGTGACAATCCGAAGATTGTTCTTACTCAGACCCAGAAAGATCTGTGATTTTTCTTGATCATAAGCCCTCAGAAACTTCTTCGAGTGTCTTAGACCATTGCAAGATTTCCATTCCAGGTTGCGGATGGAATCTTCCAAGTTCTTGAGTTCCGCCTTGAGTTGGTTACCACTTGGAAAGCAGAACGGTTCTGGTCCAGTTAGTGGAGTGTTCGCTCCTTTCCTAGCTAGATTATTTGCTTTTTCATTGCCTTCTATCCCTTGGTCTTGGTGAGCAGGCACCCAGTGTAGGAGGACTTTGTTTTCTTTGCCTAATTTATTCAGCTTCTCTATGCATTCTTTGACCAATTTCGAATGGATTGATACTGAGTTGATCGCTTTTAACGCTGCTTGACTATCAGACAAGGTGGCTATTTCTTGTTTCCGATAGTTCCTATCTAAGATAAGTTGTATGCATCTTTCGATAGCGTAGATTTCTGCCTGTAGGATACTAGGGTAAGTGCCGATTGGTTCGGAGTATTTAGCTCTCGGCCCAAACACTCCGATCCCTGTTCCCGTATTGGTTTTGGAAGCATCAGTATACCAAGTTATGGTATGGTCTTTTAACTGCTGGGCAAGCGTTTCGCTCTTCCAATCCTTTTTATTGCTCAATACTACATGGAGATGTTTCTCAAAGTTGTACGTTCTTAGCATATCGTCCACTGGGAGTTGCAGGAGTGGTATTTCCTTTATGAGGGTGTTCCAAGCCCCTGATCTGACAATTCTCCCAGTACTAATTCCGTTAGTGACCATTCTAATCAATGTCGCATTGGCATATCTACCAATGACAATGTGCAGTGGTGTTAGATCTAGAATGACCTCCATTGCTGCTGTTGGACAGGTTCTCATGGCTCCTGTGATGCAAACGCATGTTAGTCTCTGGACTTTGCATAGGTTTAGCCTTGCCGTCCGTTGCTCTAGTTTTGTGTACCAGGCAACTGCTCCATAAGTAATCATGGGTCTTACTATCATGGTATACATCCAGCGCAAAATGTTAGGGAAGCAGCCCCACTATTTCCGGCCAGTCTTCTGCATATCATGAGAGCCTTTATGGCTTTGCTGGTAGTGTTCTTAATATGCCTGTTCCACAGGAGTTTACTGTCCAGAGTTATTCCCAGGTATTTAACTTCCTGTGTTGGCAGTATTTCCTTTCCATCTAGTTGGATTCTTTTCAAGTTTTTCAGACTTCGCCTTCGGTGAATGGCACTATCGCGGTTTTGTCTGAGTTGATACTCAGCCCGACAGTCCTACACCATCTCTCAGTGATACGGAGTCCTCTTTGGATAATATCACACAAGGTGCCTTCATGTTTCCCCCGAGCGATCATGACTATGTCATCTGCATACCCAATGCAGTGTATTCCCGCTAGAGTTAATTCATCTAGTAGTTCATCCACCACCAAGCTCCACAGCAAAGGGGAGGTTACTCCACCTTGTGGAGTTCCTTGCGTTGTTTTAACAGCTACAGTTTTGGTGCCCATCTGAGCCTCTGCTGTTCGTGTTGACAGCATTTCCCAAAACCAGCGAATAATAGTTCTGTTCACCCCTCTTGTTTCTAGAGATCGCCTGACCACCTTATGTGGTATATTGTCAAACGCCCCCGCAATATCCAAGAAGGCACAAATTGCTGTTTCTTTGCTATCCAGACTTGTCTGTATTAGCTCCGTTAATTGGTACAGAGCAGTTTCTGTGGATCTGCCCGTTCTATATGCATGCTGACTATCATGCAGTGGTTTAACCTTTAGATGATTTTCTCCAATATGGTTGTCAACTACTTTCTCCAGCGTTTTTAGTATGAACGATGTGAGACTAATAGGCCTAAATGACTTGGGATTTGTCCAGTCAGTTTTGCCTATTTTGGGTATGAAGATTACTTTTGCTCTTCTCCATGTGGTTGGTATATATCCCATCGCTAGACTGCTTCTTGTAATGCTTAGTGAGTAGCTATTTGCTGACCCTCCTTTAGAAGGGCAGGAAAGATCCCATCCACTCCTGCTGCTTTATAGGGCTGAAAGGTGTCGATCGCCCATTTCAGCTTTTGTTCTGTTATTACTAGCTTGGCCACTTCCCAATCTTCCCTGCAAGGATTGTGGGGTTCAGTGGGAGCTACATAAGTATCAATAGGTATGCTACCTGGAAAGTGTATCGCATACATTCATGTCGATTATTTATTTCGGTATGTTCATTTATTTAAAAAGCCGTATTGAAAAGGGCAGACAAATTAATCGTGGCTCAATCAGCGGTAGACACTTAAAAAAGTGCGATATTACTCTACAGGGTAAATCTTGAATAAGTGCAAATATTTTCAGAGCTGGTAGATCTCGATAAAAGAATCATATTTTATTTTTACCGTTTTCCAAATAAGTCCAAAATAACCGAGTTATTAAAGTTTGAAAATTAAAAAAAATGATTTATTTTTAAATAATTTTGTGAGCTACCTCTTTTTTTCTGTACTTGCATCCATTCTTTTAGTATCGTAGCCATCGAGTAAAGCCGTAAGCATGGTAGGTTAAGAAATAATTATACCTTGGGTAAATTTGCATTGAACAGGCAGTTCTAAAAAGTTTTTTAAAATATACAGGAATATTTAAAAAAATGCACTATTGTCTACATCTTTTTTTTCGAAAAAATAACTCATAGACGTGTTCTGGGGGTGAAAATATATCACTCTTAAAAGTATTTTCACTTATTTAAGACTCACCCTGTATAAGCGTTTTCAGGAAAGGCTCGCCGTGTTATTAATTGAAACATAATACATGTAAGTCTACAAAAATTTTACGGTGCAGATATCGACTCAGAGGAAGACTCGTTTGTGAGAGCGAGGATCTGCAGTACGATGAGTCAGATACAAATAGTGAGACAGAATAGTAAATATATGATATCTGTTTTGAAATAATAAAAAATATAGTTATAATATAATCGTATACATGATTTATCTATATTTAAATGGATGAGGCGGCGCGGCGAGCGTTCGCTGAAAGCGCTAGAATAATATCGCGCTTTTGATAACTGTCTGCAACTGATTTAGCCACGATCTTTTTGTCTGCCCTTTTGCATACGGCTTTTAAAATAAATAAATATGACAATCCACCAATCAGCATGCATGTATGCCATAATTTTTTTTCATTCTTCAAATTTTATTTTTTAATAATTTTTAAAATATCATGCCCCTTTCGCGTTATCTGTGGGCATTTCAGCGACTAGAAAAATATCTGCCAACAATTTTCCACCTTTCTTAATAATAAATAAAAGCTATTTTCGCAAATATAACTTGTGTACCTTATAATATTTTTAGTGTCAAAATTTCACCCTTTCGATTGGCCGCCCCCGCTTTAAGCCCCGGGATCGCGCTGGCAGACATGACTATTTCATAATGGCTACACAAAAGGATACTTCACACAAAAAATTAGCCATGTAACGATGATAAGGTTTTTTATGTAGCCAGCTCTTAGACTGTAATACATCATGGAACAGACAATTTTAAGCTCTACAGTATGTCCCCGGATTGTATTTACAAGAAGAAAAGCTTTTTTATTATTAACATTTTGAGAAAAATGTATTCTTCATAAAAATGTTTGCTTCTTCCAAAATGGTTAATCCCGTTTATATTTTTCCAAATTTCCGTAACGTTTTAGAGAGAACTAAGAAAAACATGAAAATGTGGTTGAATTTTTTCTATGGTAATATAATTCGATTTCATTCTTTCATAGATTATTATTGATAGAATTTTAATTAACGTCATATTTTTTGCTGTTTTAAAATGTTAAAAAAACACAGAATTTATTTAGTTGAATGCTACGAAAAAGGTGATAAAAGGTATCGGAAAATATGATACTTTAACAACAGCAAAAATATGACATTAATCAAAATTAATAATAACCATCTATCAAGTAAGAAATGGAAGCGAAATTATATAACAATTGAAACGGCTTTTAATTTTTAAGACATTTTTAGTATTTTTTTAGGAAAAAATTCAACCATATTTTCAACCATGTTTTTTTTTAACGGTATGGAAATTTGAAGCAGTATAAATGGGATTAAGCATTTTAAAACAAGCAATTTTTTTATGAAAAATGCATTTTTCTCAAAATGTCAATAATAAAAAAAAATTCTCTTGTAAAATTTCCTGAGATAAAATAGTTCAAGTCCAAATAAGTATAAACAAACATTCTTAAAAATGACCACAGTTGTAGTTTGAGTTACTTTAGTTTGCAATTATATAATTATTTAAAATGTAATAAATCATTGTGTTAAGTTTTGTTCTCCAGCTTGTTTTATTTTAATTATCATTAAAAAACTCTCATTTTCTCCATAATTATCTTCTAAGACTTGATCCAGTTCAGTTCTGAACCTCTCATATATATTAAAAAAATATATATTTAGTTATAATTTTAAGTAGACATAGTATACTGTTATTATTCATCACTTACTTGAACTCTTGCTTCGGTAAGATCAATCTTCATAGCAATTTCTTCTCTCGTATAAATATCGGGATAATGCGTTTCTTGGAAAGCTCTTTCCAGTTCTTTGAGTTGGGCGGATGTAAAGGTAGTTCGAATTCTTCGTTGTTTTCTTTTTTCTGTAAGAACGCCGTCATGGCCTGGGTAGACTTTATACGGCAAACCACCTGCAATTAAGTAAAATAAAGTGTCTTGTCCATAAAATATATCAAAATATTTATAGTTAAGTGTTTTTTAATTAGGATTTATATATCATCAATCGATAATACCATACAATCGAAAAAAAACGGCGTTAAAAACGGCTGGGAATGACAATCCATGATAATTTTGGCGAGGTCAAACACTAGATGTCATTTACTTGGCCCGTACTTTCTTTATTTTTCAATGGCGCTTACTGCCCGTTTATCTTAAGAAGGTTGTAATTCAGTTTTTTTTGTTAATAGTTTATTGTATTTTTATTGAATTCGAGAAAAATTAACTTTATGAAAATATATTTGTGTGTCTGGAAACGTATCATTCTTGTTTAATATCTCTATAACTAATGTTAATTTTTGACCAGTTTTATGTCAATTTTTAGTAAATGATGTCTGGAAATTGCAAAAGTTTCTCTCAGCAAAATTATCATCGATTGTCATACCCCATTGTCTTTTTTTTATCATACTGTGTATCGCAATTGAAGGATCCAGGGGAAAACATGATAAGCGCACCAATTTTTTAATTTTAGGGTTTTACTTACGCTCAATTATAGGAGGTGTAAGTGGTCCCTACAAAATTCATAAACTCTGCAGGGCAATAAGCTTTTAAATCGTATGATATGTAATATGATGTAATCCTATGATAATGTATATGCCTAGTAAAAATATACATACAGGAAAAGAACCTGATAACCACCAGCCGTCCAGGGAAATAACTTGATAAATCCATCTAATTGCGTTATATTTTTTTCAAGTTCCTTTCAAGAGTCCTCTGTGCTGTGTGTTATACCTGTGTGTTAATATAACTGTAAGTTCCCGAAAGTACTCTTGAAGATCTACACTGCCTCATATCTGAGTGTATTTTTAAAACATTTTTTTAGTTTGCTAGGCGTTTAGATTTGCTTTAATTTTTTTCTGATTTTCAAAGTTTAGTAATTATTTCATTTTCTATTTCTGTAATTAGTAAACCTACTAAACATAATTATGACAGGTATAGTAGTTGTCACATTATTACGTTCTGTAGCGTTTCCTGACTATCCTGTAAAATTAGTAAAATGGCGCTTATCAATTTTTTCCTCTGGACCCTTCAATTACAATCAAATTAATAATTGTTGAGTAGTTCTGTTTATAGATGGACTCACTCCAGGGCACTTATAAGTTCCTTCAGCTAATAAAACACTTTACGTAGGATAAGAACCAACCTGTAGGTACAATTTTTGAGAATCCAGGTAAAAATTTGAAGACATGAAGTAAATATTTTCAAAAAAATTTTTACTGATGTATTTTTCCGTTGAATTTTTAGTTTATACCGGGTGCGTCTCAAAAGTGGCTCACCCCCTATACCTTTTTTATTTTTTCAGATAAAAAAACGAGATTTGGTATGTTAGTATATGACATATATTAGAATTGATTGACGTATTCAATTGTTTTTGGTCACTTCCTGTTTCCCCGGAAAGGACTACAACTTTTGATTGTTAAATGGCACCCTCGATATTTTTTTACTTTATTGGATAGAAAATGACATTCTGAATAGAATGACATATCATATGTCAACTTTTGACATTATCGCTTAATAAAAAATTGCATTTTAAATTTGAATCTAGAGTGCCATGGATATGTTAAAAACATTATTTTTTATCAAAGAGCCTTGGAAAAATAGATTTGATCGTCTAATGATTTTAAGGTCTTGTCCTGGCCAGTTAAAAGATGTCCAATTCCTATTTTTAATCATATCTCAATTTTTTCAAATGGAACGAGGGTGGTTCATTAGCATATTTGGGAAAAGCATTTTTTACGAATAATTTGATACCACACTCTTGATATTTCGAGTCAAATTTTCGTTATCAACCGCATGCTATAATTTCAAATAAACCATATGTGAAAATGTCAAAAGTTGACATATGATGTCATTCTATTCAGAATGTTATTTTCTATCAAATAAATTTAAAAAAAATACCGAGAGTTCCATTTAAAAATCAAAAGTTGTAGTAATTTCCGGTGAAACAGGAATTGACCGTAAACAATTGAATACGTCAATCAATCCTAATTTAGGTCATATACCGTATGATCGAATAAAAACGGCGTCAGCGATGGCTATGAAATAAAGATCGCTGTCATTTTATATGTAAAATTATATGAGGAATGTCAACGATGTTCATTTCCAAGCCAGCTGGACGCCGTTTTTTTTTCGATCATACGGTACTAACATACTAAATCTCGTTTTTAACTCAAAAAATTAAAAAGTTATAGGGGTGAGCCACTTTTGTGACGCACCCGATATTAAAAACAAAGAATTCTCAAAATATTTAAATAATACAAAATGATCCTTAGAATTCTTTACTCTGGCTCACTTCTGTCTAGCTCGAAAGCAGTGGTTTAATGAACTATACCATGAACTTGAATTTCAAATGTATTCGATCATATAAAGGTTTGTCAGGCTACGGTCTAGCTACATTGAAACACCGGTTCCCATTAGAACACCGAAGTTGAGCGACGTAAGGCGATACTGGTGGATGGACGGGTGACCGGTTCGAAACTCTGTATCGTGCTGTTGTCCAAGAGAAAAGTGTAAAATCTATTGATACACACTGCTCATTCACGCCGGTTCGAGGCCGGATGAGATCGGATACCTCGTGAGTAAGAGAGTTAATTTAGACATTTCCTAAGTCGGTAGGCCACTGACCATGATATGGCCGATGACCGCGGTTCGTATTAAACCGCGTAAACAAAGTAGGCCCCGTCCAGATTAGCCCTGGCAACAAAAAGGAGACGTTAACTGAAATCTTTACTTTACTTTACTTTACTTTTAAAGGTTCGTGCAACAATTTCCTTTTCATATAAAAATTCTCACAATATAAAAATTAGAATCATACAATATTTCCTGAAGGTCTCTGTGTAAGCAACAGTAAGAGAGTAAGATGTTATTTTGTAACCGTCTTCCAATAAAAATGTTGCTTTTGTTCTATTTCTCAAATCTTTGAATAAAAGCTCGAATGCGCAATATATATAAAATGTGCTTACAAAGTGAACAAGTCTCCTTTAAATTTCTCCCTCAAGTGCGTTTCGTTTTCTATAAAGTCGTTCATGCGAATAAGCAGCAGCTGAATTGATGTAGATGCTACGCGAATTTTATGATTGTTTTACTATCGTAACATGTAGGAGGACTTTATAGCCTCCGCGTGAATCTTTTTATGGGCTCTTTTTAGATCCAATGTCAAGACGTATAAATCTTATAACCGTTTCTTCTTTTTTTATATTTTTTACATAACAATATAAACTTTTTAAGAGCACCCTTAAATTTATAAACGCTGTGCAAAAATGTATATTTTTATACGACAAGATAAATTAATATATTTTAATATGACATAAAAATGGTATGAAAATTATGATATAATAAATAATGATGCCTAATTTATAATTCAATTAAATCATGAAATGAAAAACTTCAACAAAATTTTCGTCATTAAGTAATAAACAATCACACAATGTAATCTTATTAATAATTCAATATTCATGGTTGTTCACGCTATTCGAAATGGAGTATTGTTAACTATTGACTAAGACTAAGAGTGGGACCCTCCACTGCGGCCGCGAGGGCCTATTGTGGCTCAGTTTCTACAAGCTCTTTAATAGAAAAAGAGCGTTAAAGTTCACTCTCAAGGCCCAGCTTTTTACAGATCCTTGTGGTATTGTAGCCAAATAATAAAGTTTTAGAAATTGATCACGTGATCGTTGAACGTCCGTGAGAGCTACAATTTAAAATTGTTTTCAAACGTTGCAGAATATCTCAGATAAAAAAAATACCAAAGTTGTGTGTTATTAATGGAACCCCCTGTAAGTTATTACATTTTTAGTTTCTGCGTTTAAAAAAGGAAAATTCGATTAAGGGTACCTCATTTAAATTTTACCGTCTTAGAAATATGTTGTGAAAATGCAGCTACACTTTTAATTCGTTATTTCTCTATGTGTATTTAAGTTGTTAAAACCAAATACTGTAGGTAATGAAGTTTTTTATTTACTAAATTTTGAGCTGCAATATTAAAAATAATACTACTTTATCAGAATATCTAAAAATGTATATTAAATAATTGCTAATTTTGAACTGCAATAACTCGTTTAACTTAAATCGACCACCTTATACAGGATCGCTGTTATGTAATGGGAACGGTGGATTATTAGGTAAAACATACAAGGTACCCCAAAAAGTTAAATACACCACTTCGGTTTGGGTGGACGACATTATAGGGTTTTTAAATGTCTCTTGGCGAGTAATAAATTTATGTAGGCAGGGTCGGTCATAAAGTCGTGGCACATCAAGGTTTCATTTTTTAAATAGAACCCCCTGTATATTATTGCATATTTCAATTGTTCCTTCAATTTTAAGCAAAAATCAAAATACACACAATATACCTTAAACCAACAAGTTTCCGAGTTATTGACGTTTGAACATATCACTTCAGTTTCATTCAATGATGCTATTCTGCCGAAACGGTGTACTGTTGTAACGGATTTTGAAATGCCTATTAGCTACTAGTAATTTTAAGTAACTCTTGTTTGTAATAACTTAACTTATAATTTATACCTTATTAATTTATACACTTTGAACAAGAGTTACCGATATAATTCAGGAGCGAAACGTTGGGTGGACGACATTAGGGAAGTGGCAATACTAGGGAAGTGGTAAACGGTGGTTATAAATACAGCACAAAACAGGGAGACATGTAAAACGATAGGAGAGACCTATATCCAGGAGTGGATGAATCCGGGTTGAGGAAGAAGAAGAAGAAGAAGAATTTCAAGTATACAGGGATGGTCATAAAGTTGTGGCACATCAAATTTTATATTTTTTAAATAAACCCCCCTATACATTATTGCATATATGAATTCTTCCTTTAATTTTAAGCAATAGTCGTAATACATAATGTACATAAATTGAAGAATTGAAATGTTAAACGATTTTTTTTTAATTTCCA